ACTGAATTGAACACATTAAATTCAGTTATTCACAGTAATATTTCCTAAGAAAGCACTTCACTGGAAACCTCAGTTCTACAATTTGCAAAAGTTCAGTTATAGACTGACTAGTCAGTAAAATTTTCTTGTAATCAAAACTGAGTGTATCTTATGACCTGGTGATTAACTTCACACTTTTGTAACACAGCTCTGAATAAACTTCCATTAATCCAGCACCTCTGAGCTTGAGAGAAGGGTCAAGACCTCCTAGAAGATCTCTTGGACTTTCATGGTTTTGACTACCAAATGTGTTGGCCCTTGTGCCGCACCTGGATAGGCATTTTCCAAGAGGTTTTTAATTCTCCCTCGGATGCACTAGGCCCATTGGTCCCTTCAGACTATTTTTCGAGACTTTGAACTACTCACATTCAATTCCTTCAATTTGCATTTCTTCTACACGAACTTTTATGCATTTCTATTCTGTCGCACATAACTACCAGAAACCTTCTCACAAAAACTTCCATATTTTTTTCTAATTTTGATCCGTCGTAGGCTTTGACCCTAGCTTTTTGGTTTATTGTTGGTTTTATCGTTATCCGAGTAAACGTTAGCAAGTGAAACTTGAAAGTATATAACACAAGAAATTTAGGAAGATGCTATTAAGGACGATAATTTTGCTCACGGCCGGGATATCAGGTACACTTTTGTTTACATAATTTTTGATTCTCTAAATATGGCACGGAAATCGTGTTATGGCGCACATAGAGAAGAAAAGCAGAAGTCGCAGCCTCCATGAAATCGAACTTTAGCAAGAATGGTATTTCTAAGATTTTTGTTCATTAATCCACATCTCAATAGTGTGTGATAATTAACATTTGCTTTAATTTAAATGCTCTGAATCAAATTTTCAATTGAAAGCTTCAATTGGATATAGCAGTCGTTTTTTTTTGAATAATTTTCGAAATTTTGTTTTAACCACTCTTGTCTGCCCGCTTGCTCATTCGCTACAGGGGGATTAGATAGGCTATAAGAATCTTCGGAAAAATTATTGAAAAAAAACCGATTGCTATATTGTGGAGAACAACGTGAGGTGACGAGATGCTACAGCTGTATTACAGTGCTCGCCGAAGAAATAAATTCGTATGATCCGGACTATGGCACGTTCATTGGCGAGCTGCCAAATTTAGCAGATGGCGACGTGAAAGGAAAGGTTTACGTTGTGAATGACACCACATTGCAAATCGTCAATTTCACCTATAATGGGAACGCCCCAGGTTCGTGATTCTTTGAAGATTACTGATTGAATTACTCGCTGCAAACTGAATTACTGTAGAAATACTACAGAAAGGTAAAAGTAAGAACTATATTCTGAAAAAAAAACAGGATAACTCGTTACTAACGAAATGGATCATGTAAGATCATTCATGTTGACTAAGAATTTGAGAACTTCTAGCAGTTGCGCTTTTGGAATAATCAAGAGTCTGGCGTCGCACTGATCTCAAAAAATTCGGGAAAATTTCAATTTAAAATCTTAGGAATTTTGTTTAGAAAGGGATAGTTTTTTTTGAGTTTATCTGACTGATTCTCACTCCTATTCAACGGCCCTAGAATTTTGACGGGTCTGTCGTGTCGGATTCGACGTATTGGAAAGTCATGGCAGCATCGATCAAGTAAGTAATTACTGTTGAAGTAAGGAATATTCGAGTGTTCAGCTTTATCACCTGAGCCGTGACACCTGCAGTCTTACGAGGTTACTTCTACTGTTGGAAACCTTGCAAGCTCTTCGAATTGTACCACTTAGCGCTGCTTTAGTGATATATTCTAGTTTTTTTTTGTACAAGATTTTTGAACAATATTTCATGCTAGTAACCGGGAAATGATTCCATTATAAAAGTCGATACAATTAATGAAAATAACGCATAGAAGATGACGGGGTTCAAGTTCACTACCCAAAGCTCTCAAAATAAATCCAGCATGTACAAATGGAAGAGAGTTGTACGAGTATTGAGAGTGCCTTTTTTATGTATCAAATTGCCAGGCAGGTGACTATCGGCATATCTCTTTGATTCGAGGTCGCGTTTACATACAATTGTCAGTGCGGGAGTCAGGTGGAGGTATAGACAAAGAGCCGTACCACACTAACCCACTTGACTTGTATTGTTCTGAGTGTTAGAAGAACGTCTAGAACGACCGACTTTTGCCTCTCCTCATCGATGCCGAACAATGCAACGGTAACAAAGCCCCGCCGATTTGTCAATACGCACTTCCGCAAAAACCGCGCAAATCGCGCCCTTGAGCTCGTCGAGTAAGGAGCAATAGTCTAGAAGTAGCCACAGAGTGGTAACTTAACAAAGGGTTGGAAGAATATGAGCGTCTCGTTTTCCGATTTTCGTCCAATTCGACCAACGTTACATCTTGTCATCCACTTTCACTTGGGCACGTCACAGTCGGGCCACAGAATTCTAGAGTGATCGGTCAGCGAGTAGAGGGCTGGACTAGAAGATTTCAGAGATCACTGGAGGCTCTAAAAAAGACTAGAAAAGGCTACAGGGTTTAATGGTAATAATGAAAAAAATGAAATAAAAAATTTATTTATGTAGTACATAGCTCAACAGCCATTCCTGCATCGGTTTTGACCATTATGTGATCAAAAAAAAAAAACGAACAATGGTTCAATTTTGTGAGAATGAAAGCTCAGCAAAAATAGAGACTGCAAAATTTCAACAGAAAAAACACTGGATGCTAGAATTTTTCGACTTTCTGAGATGCTTTGGATGTAATTTGCGAACCCCGTACTGACAACATACGAAACACCGTAAGACTACATGACATTATCACATCTAGATAATTTAAATTCTACTTTTGAACCCCTTGCGGTGACAGCGTGACATTTCTTCAGTGGTTTTTCAAGTGGCGCGGATTTCAAGAATGCTGCTGATGTTTTCAATGAAACCTTTTCCCTTGGCTTTATCGACTTTCTGATCATCGTTAACCTTTTCCTGAGAAAAGACTTTGAGACATTTGAGAACGATTTCTCATAGCGCGCTCTCGATCCCGATTTTATCGTCACGGGATAGCATTAACCTATGGTAATTTACGATCTGTAACTGCCGTCGCCCATTCGCTACATGATTTGCCAAGGACTATGAACGATTATTCTCGTTTAATATGACTGTCGTGTCGTCGAGGTGAAGGTTGCAAAAGGTAGAAGTGCATAGACGGGAAGTGATTTAGTGAGGGCGACCTTTGAGGTGGCAACAATTAACCCTCGTCCCAATCGCATAAATCGAAAAAAGAAACTGAACGCATAGCGGTCATCGAGGTCGCAGAAGTAACAGAGCGATGGCCCAGCACGATACATGGTGATAAAAACGTGCCTTATTCCAGATTTATACTTCTGGATGGATCGTAAGGAGAGCCCGACCCAGGATGGTGTGAAAATCCCGTCATTTGAATATGGGTAAGTCATCCTGGATAGTTTTCAGTGGATAACTGCTGTTTTACGCCGCAGTTCGCGTTGCGAAAGTTATCACAAGAATGCTGAGTTGTGGGCAAAACTTTCGCCCCAGCCGGGATTCGTACCCGGATCTCTTGCTTTCCGGGCAATTGTGCTACCAGTTACACCACCGGGGCACCATTTCACCCCAACTCAGCTTCGATGGTAAAGTACCATAGCTTATCAGCATTCACACGTATAACGTGATGGACCGCTTACATAAAGTTTTGCCCACAACTCAGCATTCTCGTGTTTGAGTTATTCTGGACATATTGGCTATTGGCGTCAAAGTATAAGGAATGTTACAGAATCACTTCTCTCGGGAAGTACGACAACGCGGATCAAGTAGTACTGACGTTGCCTGGACGGCATAAAATCACCAATTTCAAGAGCTTCTCTTTGTTTTGCTACAAATATGAGGTTGGTCGTCTGAAAGAGACTCTCAGTTGTCTAGCAGGAGGGTCATTTCAAAACATTTCAGCACAACTTCGGCTCGATTGCCATTCCTGAGAACCTCATTGTTCCGCGACCACAGTTTTTATCTAGTGAGCTGAAGGGCAGCCGGTAAGATAAAAGAAACTTTTGAAGTTCGACCTCAAAATTTCAAGTGCGTTCACAGGACTGTGATTTGTTTCAGATACTCTGTTGGCTCGGGACCTATTCTCATCATGGACAAGCGCACGATCAAAATCTTTGGCTTTACATTCGACGCCGACAAAGCCCCTGGTAGCGTTTTGCGACTGAAAACATCCTATGCAGTAATTGTGCTTTAAAAACATATATGTAACCATTTTAGATGGATACTTCTTTGTCGGTCGTGGACCAAATGTTGCACATGACGCTGGAGTGAAAGTTCCAATTCGCGGCCGCGACACACCAGAACTGTAAGTGTTCCCCTTCACTTCGAAAAGGTAGGGGATTTCCGTCCCTCACCTACATACTGACCTAGGCTGGTATACACAGAGCGCAAAGAATCGGTGGTTTGATGGATGTTGTTATCAGTAGAGGGATTTTGTGTAAACAGCTATTGTTACAACGAATTCGAGTAAAGGCTACGCTCAGGATCGACCGACAACCACTTGTCGTGAAAAAGTAGTAAATAACAAAGACAATGAATGATAACTAGTATTGTCACAGAGCTAATGCCCTAAACACAAGTCTCAAAACAACAACGTCGTTTCTCGGTTTGAAACTTAAGAAGCTGGTTTTTAGTGCTAGTAGCAGCTTGATCCAAGCAGACCTTCACTTTTGGTTGGCTCTTCGGTCAGATGAATTCTCACCTCTTCATTTGACACGCCAAAGAGGAGCAACACTACTTTGTGATTGGTAGACACCACTACTGCTATTTAGAGCTCATTGCTATTAAAAGCCTAATCGGCTTCCGTCGAAAAAGTACTGTTTGCTGGTCAGGTGCTCCTATTGTTTAAACAGCGGGCGCGTTCGCGTGATTTTCTCACAATCTCTCTGTGAGATCGGATTCTTCTCTATTGAGCATTGAGCGTTTTTGGTGAGCACTTTAGGTACGGCTTGTTTGGAAAGACTCAGGCCAACACTGGGCCTTTTCTGAAATTCCCACTCCTAAATTGGGGAGGACACAGTTTAAGCTCATCTCAGAACCTAATCAGATCAATCGCGGCGATGAAATTTGAACGGGGATGTCATTTATGAGATATGCATCGCATTTACTACGAGATGATACGCGAACTCGCTAATTTGAGGAAGGTTTTTTTATTATCGCTGCATATCACGCCTCATACGGAAGTTTTCTAGGAATGGAGACAGGTAAGGTAGGAGTATGATAGCTACAGGTAGCAGCACAGTGGAAGATGCGAAGAAATATTGTATCAAAACCTTCCTAATAGGGTGGGCGAGAGGGGAGTGAGGGGGAAAGTGTAATACTGATCCCGAAGTTTTGCTTCACACAACACTCACGAACTTTGTGAAATCAAAAGTAGAAAACTGGTAGAGTGCTGATTTTCTGCTGTTATGGCCCGCCGTTTCGGCCCTTGACACTGGACTATTGCCTTTAAGGTCTAGGTAGAGGGAGAGAAGTGATCATCAGGAGTGAAGCTGTTACAGATAGGGAACGGTGGTCCGGTGGTAGATTAAACTGGTGGCACGAGTTCGAATCCTGTTTAGGGCGACGTGCTTTGCTCATAGCCCTGCATTCTTTTGAAACTTTTGCAACGCGAACTGCGGCGTGAAGACAGCAGTTAGCAAACCCAACAATGTCGTCAAAAGATATGATATCTACTATAGCTTTTCGGCACAAGTCGCCAGTGATGTCGGCTAAAGATCAATTTATCGTCGCTGGAACCTTAGTCGAATGCTGAAGGCCGAGGGGATAACTCAGCTTATTAAGCTGAGTTGGGGTCACTGATGCTCCGGTAGTGTATGCCATCTCAGCACGCATGCTTGTTGAGCAGGAAATGCGGTTTCGAAACCCTCCTGGGACGACGTGTTTTGCGCAGATCCCAACCCTCGTGAAAACTGTAACAATATTACGTTACAAGTCCTGTACGTAAATTCAAGTGAATGGTTTTTGTTACAAATTCGCCACTATTCTTCACAGATGTAAATGAGAAGAGCGCTCTAAAGGATGGAAGCTGACTCCAAGGAAAAAGGAAGACATTCATTCGTAAGGGCGTATCAAAAGAAAAAATTTCCACCGGCCACGAAAATCATGTCGAGTAGGGCAACGAAGCTGCTCATAGAAATTCATTGACCTTGCTGGGTTGTTTTTTTCTGCTGGAAAAAGTTAAGGCCTTTTAATGTCCTTCTGAAATTTCTGACGAAAACTTGATAGAACCACTTTGAGAAAACTGAAAAACTGTGTCAAACTTTATAAAAGCCGCTATATCTGTGCAGATTTCGTGGTCTCTTTGAAAGATAAGACGTTGATTAGCACCAGAAAACCTCAGAAAACCCTTAACCCTTCATGGAAAACTGTCACTTTTGCTCGATAGACACTGTTTGTCTACCAGAAAAAATCTAGTTAAACTTGTTTCCGAGCGCATGATAATCAATTTAAGGATTGACAACTTGATACTATATGGCTTATGTAGCGAAAACCCAAAAGCTACGGCACTATTTACCCTTTACTGCCCCACTCCTCGAGAACTGAGCCGGGTTTTTATCGAAATTGTCCATGACTGTGGATTTGGCTAGAAACTTGCCTTCAGGGGTAATTTGACCCGTAGAACACGAATATCACATTCGTTTACCGCTAGAACGCCTGGCGCTCGCGTCAGAAGCGCCGGCGCCAAAAGGCGCCAGAACATCTCGGATCACCAAATTCGCTGGAAACTTGTCTTCAGAGGTACTTTGACCCGTAGAACATGAATATCACATTAGTTCGTTGCGAGTGAGCCTGTAGCCTGCGCTACGGGCGCCCGCGCAAAACTGTTGTGATAGCGCCGGCGCCTGTGGCGCGGGCGCCAAGCGTTTTCGCGCTAAACCGGTGTGATATTCGTGTTCTACGGGTCGAATACCCCCGAAACAAGTTTCTAGCCAAATCCACAGTCATGGACGAATTTCGATCAAAATCCGGCTCAGTTCTTGAGGAGTGGGGCAGTAAAGGGTAAATAGTGCCAAGCTACCTTTCAAAATGTACTTCAAATGAGGATCTCCTTTGGACTCTCGCCCACACCCACTGTGCTGAGCATGGTTTTGACAGTCTTCCCACGGATCTACAGCACACCTTGCTCGTTCAAAGTCAAATCCTTCGTACCCCGAGGTCTTGTAGAACAAATACCTCGACTATCCAGCACCTGTGCAATTGTCTCTCGGCTATGTGAGATAGTACATGGATGTGAAATACTTACAGGAATTACTAGTTCATTAGTAAATATAATACATGTATGGACTCGACTTTTTAACTTCTTCAATAACTTTATGAAAAATATACGTAGCATATTAAAGAAATCCCGTCGAGAAGAACGTAGGTGAATGAAAAGCAAGTAATTCCATGGAACCTGCATGTGTGAAACAAAGAGCCAATAGTGTAGCGGTAATAAGCCTTACTAAGGCCTAGCCTCAACCGGAGCTCGGTACCGTTGTTATCAAGCTCTCAGGATGCACCATGCTACTTTACGCTTCACCATGGGATAAGACCCTCTTTATATTGTCCGATTCGTGGATTAACTCACTAGTTTAATGAAAATTGAAGTAATGGTAACTGCTCAACCCATGGAGACCTTCAGTCCACCTTTTTTGTTAGGCCTATTTTCACGCAATGAACGCGATGAAA